TGCCTAAGCAGGTGACTTACCCATCGAAGTTCGTGATTAATTCTACATACAAAAATCAACTCTCTGTTGGTAAAGATGGTAATGGGGCTTGGATTCAGACAAGCTCATCCGAGACAACATTTGTTTTAACAACGAAAGATAATTATCAAGTTGTCTACCGCGATGCTAGCGGTCAATTTCATTACAATAAGAGTGTTGGAAGACAATATGTTAAATGTCTAGTACAGGTAAAAACTGTACTTACGCTGAAACGGTTCGCAGTATTGTTGATTTCTTTTGTCTATATTTACAGTTATTATTTGAAGGGTGTATGCCATAAATAAAGCCAATCCTTCATTTCGCCGTATGATTTGTCATCCATTGTCGAAAACCGAGATGGAGCAGACCAGTGATTTACCATTACTAATATTTGTGCAATATGCGACAACATCGGCGCAGCCAATGCAAAAGCTTCACATTCAACCGCATGGTAACGCGACAAAATCTACGTGTCCTTTTACGTCTATGGTTCTGACTGTTTTGGAACGTGTTAGAGTAAGTATCTATGATAACAGCTAACGATAAAACTAATGTCAGAATTTCATTCTCAGTTTCAATCGTTAATAACAGACTCGTCGACAGTTTACAAAGAAGTGCTTCATGATGTCGTACAAATGAACACACCGAATTTGACTTCCGTTCGAGATAGAAATCAAGTGTACAATTCACGAAGAAAAGATAATTCCATTGCTGAGGAGTATTTGGCAGTCATGAAGCGATTGGAGAAACAAAATGGAGTTGTCGCTAGGTTATCCATGCAGCTAGCCGAAGCACCTGTGTTAATGCTTGCGCAAGAGCATCTAATCAAAGAAATCAAACGTTGTTTTCTGAACGTCACCACACAATCATCACGATCGGTGTTGTGTGAGTTTCTTCGCAAGAATCTCTTATACTTTTCTCATTTGTACGTCAGATAACGATACGACTTTCAACCTTGGGCATTTTTTTGTTACTCCCACAACGTTTCGGAATAGTGCTCTATAAAACCGACGGACGAAGAAAACTTCAGTGTTTTGTGGTCCGATGATGATTCACTATAAAAACGATTCTCATTCATACGAAGAGCTTCTGGATTATCTTCGTCGAGAACTGCGAGCTTCTAGTGATTTGGTGATCGGCAGTGATGGTGCACTAGCCATTAAAAGTGCTGTTGCAGCAGTCTTTCCTGACTGCATTCACGTTTTTTTGCGTAAGACACGTCCGAAATGATATCAAGCGTCAATTGATGAAAATTCAACTTTCCAAAGATGAACGTCGTAAATTGCTTGAGTGTCTGTTCGACTGTCCGGAATCATTGATTCAGTCGGAAACTGAAAATGAATGTAGTCAACGACTAGATGGTCTTCGTGATGTTTGGTAAAGTATCTTGAATCGAAATTGAGAGCATCTTAGTGGTTCCAGTGATCTTTTTGCATGGTTTCTTCGCTACCAAGTGAATACGTTCCGTCACCATCTTATTGGTTCTGTCCGCATTCAAGCAGAATACTTAAATCACCACGATTCACCGTGGCTCTTTTACAACAACGATATTGAAGCACTCAAGCATGTGTTGAAAAATGATGCGAATTGGGAAGTACAGTTTCTCTCGCGTATTATCGACATTATAGAAAATCGCATCACGATGCAGAAAAATGAATCGATTCGTGCTCTCTACGATGCTGGTGAATTTCAAATCGTAGCTCCATACACAAGGCACATATCTAAAGTTAGAGTTTCTCGACACAGTATATTGTTTAGGTTTGTCCATGATTCTCACAACTGGACATATAAATCAACAGAGCAACGCGCCGCAGTCATTGCCGCGTATTACACTTACGAACCTCCACAGCCATAATCAATCGGTGAGTTTAATAAGGTTGATTCGAAATTATGCAAGGATGAAATAGGACTACGTAGGTTTGAAACAGGGATGTCTTGAAAGACCATCAAAGACCTCTTGCTACCATGATAAATGTGAAATGCACCCAAAAATAGCTCACACTTTGACCACTTAATTTCAAAACAACAGTATATACCACCAAGACAGCACTGGCCAAGTTCCGAGGAGTCTGGAACTCAATGGGAACTCATTGGGAATTCGGAACTCAAACGGTGTGGATGTTTTTGAAAAAATTCTTGTTAATGCAGAAATACACTTTTTGAGAAAAAGTAAAATTTTTTTGGAAAACACACGAAATTTTTTTGAAAAGAAATTTTTTTTTCTAAAAAGGTCTGTTTCTACATAAAAAAATTGTTTTCAAGAATAGGGCTTGAGGACCCTAGGGTGGGGGACTGCGAACGGGTGACGGTTACCAAACCGTTACCATTTACCTGAGAACGTAACGGTAACGTCCCACACCCACATCCTCTTCGTAGAATCAGCCCGCCGAGCTCTATTGACTGATGACTTTAGTTCCGGATTTGGAGGTCTTCGTGGGTGTTCACGTGTTTTAAGAATGCCCCTTTTTGACTATTTCAAGTCTAGTATCAACATGTGTCACGAACATATTAGTTTGAGCTAATTTTGGACTTGAAAGAAGTAAAAAGTTCTGTAGGATAGCTTTGGCATATTCTTTGAGTATGCTGAAGTAGGGCACTTTCATCTTTGCTTTCTCGCCTATCATCCTCGAGAGACGGCAAATGTGTTTGAATTTTATCTTTGGGTTTATAAGTGAATAAAATTTTGACCATTATTTTCAAAAACCTATTGAAGATTCATTAGCATGAAGAGTTAACAAATGATACTAAAGAGTATGTACTTGTTTATGGAAAGTATCGAATAGAAATATCTTAAAAACTATAATTACTTAATGAAGGATTATTGTTGAATTATCACTTCAACATAGTATTATAAAAATAATTAATTGTGTAAACTTTCATTGGATTATGTGATCATTATGGTTGTGTATGGGACAAACATACAAATCTATCGTTCAGATCTATTTATAAGTATCAATTACAGTAAATCAGTTTTCATCTTCTGAATCATCAATAGCCACCACAAATACGACTTCTGCTTAAATGATCAACAAGCGTAATGAATGCATATGCAAAAGAACACGAATTGCTTATTAGAGTTAACGCACGATTAAATAAATTTCTTCAAGCTAGTTCTATAATTTCCTCTAATAATGGTATTGTTCATTATTTCAAGCATTTTGATCTAGTTGAAAAGGACAACAAAGAGAACTGAAACCAGGCACGATACCAATAAATCATCTAACAACACTCTGTGAAGTTATAGATACGAAACGAATTCAAATAAACAAACAGTAAATATTATTGAATTGATGATGTGTACTGTACTGACTATCAAAGAGCTTTTTGATCTATGTATTTGATGCATTCTACATTTTATCCAGCAATGAAAAACATATTTGCAGTCAGATAGAAATTTTGAAACTCAATTAAATCAGTTAGATGATAATTAAAAAACCATGCCATTAAATTACCAGTCCATTCTGAATCTGCAGTAGTTATATTGTAACTGAAACAAATGATTCATTCAATTGACTAGAACGAAGTTCAATTTGTTTTTATTTTGGTCATCATGAGTTTTTAAATAAAAAGTAGGTATTTGAGTAAATATTGTTTTCAGTTTCATCCGTAAATTGAATAAATACAAAAAGAATGGCGTGTTTTTCTCGTAAAATATCCGATGAAGAATTTCGAGTACGTTGTTTATTGCTTCTAATACTTAACATGATCCATCTAAAAAGCTATAGGCATGGGTAAGTCCTATTTCTGAATCGGACTTGAGTCACATTTGTTTAAAGACTCTGATTTCACTCGAACTTGAAAGTTGGATACTGTTGAATCGAATCATTCATTCAAAAAGACAAAAGTTGATAATTCAGCATAAAAAAAATGAGTTTCAAACGAAATTGATAATTTTTTTGCAGGAAGAAAATTTTATCAGTGATCTTATATTTTCGAAAAAAAGAACGAAATTCATATCAATCTCTTAACAAACTTGCTAGGAAAATCATCTATGTTCTTGTTATATCAACACCAGTTAAACGCATGTTTTTCAAAGTGATCTTTTAATGGTATTGGCATCGTTCAAATTCTTTACAAGCTAACATCTGCATTTGAACATCTTTGACATATAATAAGACATGAATTAGATGTTAATCAATACTTTTTGCATATAAACAATTCATACATGTAAAATTCGAAGAGCTGTTATGAATTTTTAACTATTACAAAACACGAGCACGCGCAAAAGCACACATACGAGACATCCAACGAGATATGGATGCTCCGGGAAACAAAAAGATACATCCACATATCTTGTATATCGATCAAGTCTCGAATATCATTTCTGTGACATGTTGAAGATAGAAAGACCCAGAGGCAAGAGTTCAAAACTCCAGCATGTTCTATATCTCTTATATTCATGCATGTAACATACCTAAATACACAGATTTACGGTCATTTACAAGCGTGCTTGTTCGACCTGGTTATCGGAGGTAAAGCCAAAATCTTAAAATCACATAACACAATGTAAGGATCGAAATCTTCAAGCCATAGATACAGTTGAAAACTCGAAGATAATTTTAAAATTCATAACGAATTAATGAGTTCTATACTACTGTAGCATACTGCCTGGCAAGTGGCCAGACCAGGTCAATTTCAGCGTGATCTGCAGACATTTCCAGTTGGATTAGATCAGAAAAAAAATTGCTTATTGACAGCTCTGATGTAGAACGCCATCTATTAGATAATTAAATTATTCTCAACGATATACTTTTCTTGAATTTGTTCAATAAAAAAAAATTCATTTCAGCTATGTACATATAATCAAATAAACTCTTCATTTTAAAGTTCAAATTTCAATTGGATACGATCTACAAAGACCCAACTTTTGAACCAACTCTTCCTTCATACGATCTCTCTTGATATCGACTGATTTACTTCTAAAAATAGTAAAAAAAATCTGAACAGTTCTCCTTATTGTATGACTAACTATGGAAAGCAATATGACTGCCAATTTTAAAGCACGATTACAACATATAATTGCTTGTCAAGATGTACTTACGAAAAATAATCTTTTAGCACAACGTTCTTGTGATCAAGGTTTGTTAAAATCATATCTCGAAAACATTCTTTTCATTATAAATGATAAATCATATTATAGTTAGAGTTCGTTTAAGTCAAAATTTTCTATTATCGATTGATCTTAATTATTAGTTTTTTTGAAATAGAATTTAGTACTTTGTTAACATTTCACAATGATCTTCGTCGTAAATATGCTGATTTACGTGCATATACCGATCAACTTGATCGATCTATTGAACAATATAGAATAGAATCAGCACGTAAAGATAAAAAAATTCAATCACAAAGGTAATTTAAAAAATATTCTTTACTATTAATTATTCAATTTATTGAATTCAGTTTACAAATTCTTCGTTTAACTCAACATAATAAACGAAATAATGAACGTTTTAGTGAATTACAACGATGTTTAGATCGAATAAAAAGTACAATACCTGAACAAAATACTTACAATCAATTATGTGATATACTTCGGTTTGTTTGTTGTTTAATTCAAAAGACAAAATCAAATGATTTTATTTCTAGAAATTCTCATATGTCTGATAATGAAATAACAGCAGATTTATCTGATAAAAATTGTACTGGAGATGAAATTGATGATGATTATTCACATATACCTAAAGTTGTTAGTCAATCAACAGGTATTAATCAAATAAAACGACCAATTAATAATCATAATGATGTTGATTTAAAACATAATAAAGTAAATATTTGTTAAATCCTCCTTTATCTCGCTCAGAAATAAACATTTTTCGTTTTTCATCTAATTTTAGAGAATGTTGGTTTTAGCTGGAATAGTTTGGAGTTAAAATATCTCTAAGATATTCACAACTATTAGTCAAAATTATCCTTTACTCTCAGGCAAAGTTTTCAAAAGTGAGAATACGAACTAACATGTCGAGTGCATTCAGAGTTAGGTTGTAATAGAGCCCGATTTTTCAATTTCTTTGTTTGATCTTTTTAAAAAGAACTTCTTCAAAGAATTCTCATATTTATGACAAAAACAAGTGCTAATTAAAATCGAACATCTAAGTTTCTTTTTTATTTCAACAAAAGAGAAATTCAAAAATCAAGTTCTATTACGACTCAGCCCTAACTCTCTGCTACGTAACAAAAAAATTATCATTTTTATATTGATTCGTTATCAAGAGAAGTTTGTCCGTGTAAATGGTAGGCTCGAAAAAGAATGTTCTTGATTTAGTAAGTGTTTCTATTCGAAATACGTCTGCTTACGTCACCTAACGTTTTCGTACTATTTGTCAAGCTTTATTTGATGATGTATATTATGTGGATATATTATATTGATTTTAAAAATACATATCACGCCAAATTTGTGCTTATAGTTTCTTATATGTAGGTGCGGATGGAGACTGAATGAGGGCCAAGCCTGTATTCCATCCACACTTCACATCCAATAAATCCTGAAATTAAATTTTTCCCGGAAAATCGACTTTTCTACCCGAGAACGCAGGGGGAACTTCAATTGATTAAAATAAAAAAATAATTTTAGTCTCCTCCGACTGCGCTCAATAATGAATTAAAAACTAATCAATTATGTGCATCGCCCTATTCAAATGTTACCGTTGGGCGTATTCAAACTGGTCAATTAACAACATCACCAATACCTGTACCATGTCGGCATTCATTGTCAGTTCATAAAAGACCAAAACAAAAAATACGAAAACCATCCAAAGAATTTCTAAATACAAAATCAGGTTTAGACTTTTTTGTTTTTAAAGAAAAATATCAAAACATATTTATTATAGAAGAATCAGAGCTAAGTACAGATGATATGTTTTGGTCTAAACATAATAATGATCATCATCAACAAGCATTACTACCTTCTACAAAACCGATATTATCAAAAATAACAAGTCCATCAGCAGAACAGAAAACTTTAACACCATCAACACCAGTATCAAATTTTATTATCAAACCAAGTCCATCTAGTCTTGTTAGATTACATACAAAAGCACATAATTTTATTTCAAGAAATATTCTTATACCAGAAACATGTTGTGTGGTATGTTCTAATGAAACAAAATCTATTCGATTCTCTTTTTTTTTTCTTTAGTGTCTTAAACGTATACATTTTGGTAAATTAGCTTATCGTTGTCAAGCATGTAATGCTCTATGTCATACGGGTTGTAAAGAAAATTGTATGACACTTTGTTTGCCAAATATTAAAACACCCAATCGTGGTGCTGTATCGAAATTTAGTCCACGAGAAACGAATCAATTACAAATACCTTCTTTACTTGTACATTGTATTGATGAAATTGAACAACGTGGGTTACAAGAAATTGGAATCTATCGATTGAATGTGTACGTTATTTTATTACAATAAAACTATTATCGATTAATTTAGATTCAATAATGCTTCAATATTTAAATATATGAGTATAAATGTTTGAACTTGACAATCATATTTCACAGAAAAAAAAATACATTAAATACTGAATGTAATAGTTCGTACTTTGCAAAAAATCACGATTCTTCTGCTTGATGTTTTTCTACATCACATTGCATGTAGATTTTTTTAACTGTTAAAAAGTTCAGTCGAAGCAACGTCTATGTCTGTGAGCGCATTCAAGCTATCTGTATTAGGGGTGGCACTTTAACTTTAAACTTTACAAAAAAAAGTAGTTAAAGTTTAAAGTTTACTTTAAACTTTAAGAGTTAAAGTTAAAGTATTACACTTTAATACTTTAACTTTAATTAAAGTAGGTATAAAAATGAAAAAAAAGTCAAAAATATCTGTTAACCCTTCGTGTTCAATTCTATATGGTTTTTGATAGCAATTTCGAAACTTTAAACTTTAATAAAAGTTAAAGTTTAAAGTGACTTTAACTTTAATAAAGTTAAAGTTTAAAGTATAGAATTTCCTGTCAAAAACCATATAAAATTAAACATCAAAAGTTAACAGATATTTTTGACTTTTTTTTCATTTTTATACCTACTTTAATTAAAGTTAAAGTATTAAAGTGTAATACTTTAACTTTAACTCTTAAAGTTTAAAGTATCACTTTAAACTTTAATTCTAAAGTAAAGTTAAAGTGCCACCCCTAATCACAATCCCCAGTAGTTACTTGTAAACATTCTGATTTTAATCATTATTCAGCTAATTAACAACCGATAGATTCTTGCAAAATAGAACAAAAACTTTAAAACAAATATTAAATAAAAAAAAAACTTCGAATGTAATGTGTAACAAATGCATAAATTAAGAATTGAGAGAGTTGTTGTTAAAATCTTCTTGTTTATAATGAAAATAGTTCATTCGACACTCTCATTTTAATCTTGTTTACATAACCGATTGAAAAACAATTGATGAGTTGCGTAGAGTTTAAAACAATCATATTGCTTCCATTGGAATTTGTTGAATATGATGAAATCAAGTTCTTTAGATACTCATAGAAAATTATAAGATTATTTTTTTTTGAAGGAAAACTCTTTTTTTTTACAGCTCGTGAATATCGGCATATGACTGAAAAACATGTTGCTTCCGATGTTGGCAACATCACTTATGAAAAGGTGACTTTTTTACTATTGATTATGATTCTAAAAATCCATCATGGACTCAATCAACTGTTCAAACATTTGAACAACTTGACTGTAAACCAGAACTTATAGAAATTCTTAAAAAAGAAAATATTTATAATCCGATTTCAACTCAATCACGTGTTATTCCACAGTTACGAACAGGTCGTCATATGATTGTAGCAGCTGAAATTGGTTAGAAAAACAATATTTTACAATTATTTTAAATACATTTCTTTGTTTAAGTAGGTGGTGGACAAATATTTGCATATCTTGTACCTCTTATTAAGTCACTTGTTCGTTGGAAATCATCAAATCTTTTAATGAAAATGGAAAATGCACCATTTTCAATTATTCTTGTACCAACTAGAGAATTAGTCGTGCAGATTGAAGTGAGAGAAGAATAAGGAATGTTTGTTTTTTTTTTTAGAAAAGAAAACTTTCCTTTTAGAACATATTACAAGTATTTAATCAACTAAATGTGTGTAAACGAAGTTTAATTGGAGTTAATACAGATAAACTAACTGATTATATCGTTACATGAGAGAACCGCTCCAATTAGTTCAGAGCTTCTGCACTGATATTTTTCCCATAATTTGAATCCAGTGCTGTTGGAGAAAGCCTAATAGTGAAAATATTCTTTGTTACAAAAATATATCAAATACGATTATTATTAAAGATTCTATTGTCATCTATTTCAGGTTCGTTTAATTGAAATATAGAAAAAATAATCGAAACAAGAGTCAATGCATAACTCAATATGAACTAGAGAAAATAAATTCTTTCCAATGTGATTTATTTCACTTTTGGAATATGATTGTATTATTTTGAAAAAATAGACTTTGTTTAAAGAGATGTGAATTACTTAGGAAATCATTGTCGATGTCGACATTAGTAGTCAATGATCACTTTAAATTTTACTTCAAATAATTTTGTTTAAGCTGTTATCTCAAAAGATTTCATAGAACTGAAAACAACTTCAAACCACAATATTAATTAAACATTGCGATAAATCAATGCCATATTTCTAATTGATTCATAATATATATAATACTTAAAGTCAAAATTTTAAAATTAGGAGATACGGTAAGTCTACTTATCCTACTAGACTTTTTCTAATCTTGTTGACTTCTACTGATCGGAAATCTAGCAGTAGAAAAGCTCGGCATTACTTGACGCGATCCACGTCTTACACATTTTTTAAATGTTTAATTGACTTTTTTTTATAGGATCCTCTGAATTTTACTCTTGGTGAAGTTGATATTATTATTTCCACAGCTGATATTCTATGACGAGTTTGGAGACAAGGTAATGCGCTTGATATTATCTTATGATTTTTCTTTATTTTCAATCGTTCTAGATGAACATATTGACATTGAACGACGTCTAATCGGTAGTAATCTTCAACATGTAGTTGTCGATGAAGTTGATAGTCTAATTGACATTACATTTAGCCCTGCGGTTGTTGAAATTATTCGACGTTTAGAAGTAAGTGATGAACATATTCAAAAAAAGTATATGTGTAAGAAAAATTAATAGGTTGACGTATAATCGATAAATGATCTTGATAAGAATGATCCAGCAGTTGTTTAACATGTTTTTGTTTTTGCTACAATACCTACAACGACTGAAGAAAGTCTAAAAGAACTCATCAATGTTTGCGTTGATTGAAGCGATGCTATATGTTGATTCTTTTTCATTTTCTTTTTCGTTAATAGACTGATCAAATTGATAAAATGTTGACTCCATCTGTACATCGTATTATGCCACATGTTCCTCAAAAATTCTATCGCGTTGGTAGTCAACAAAAATTCGGTTTGTTACTACCATTTTATAATTATTAATCTTATGATTTGATATTATAGGTCTTCTATTAAAATTAGTCAAATATGATTTAGAAAAGAAACATTTTTGTTTTATTTTTTCTAATAAAACAAGTAGAGTTCAATTTCTTCAACAATTCTTTCGTGATCAACGTATAGAAATTTTTGTTATGCATATTCAAATGACCTGATAGAGTAAGTTCTTCTTCGATTTTAATGATACACACAAAAATCTATAAAACTTTGGCAATCAACTCTTTTATACAAGTAACTGCTCGCCAAATAACCATATTCACTATCGACATGGTTATTATTTCGACAAATGACAAACATAATGAACTCGAAATGATGAGCACAGTTTCCTGTAATCGATTCGATCTTCGTTAGACTTTTGGTTCCAATTTTGTCGAATTCTTCTTATGTGTTCGAAATCCTTGAAAATGACTATAGATTATTCAGTCGTTATTCTCATAACTTAAATCTATTTTCGTTCGCAATATCTTAATGTATTCATTCAATAATTTAGCGTATAGTTTACTAAGGTCTTGAACCTCCTTATTCTCACCATTTATCTTTAGACTCTTTTCAACTTCAGAGTAGAGATGAGCACAGTTATCTGACCCTACAGGATAGAATAAGGTAAGGATAAAAAAAAATTTCTCAGTGAGAGTACAGGCTACGAAAAAACCTTACACTGTACACTCCTGCTATGATTTAATTTTACTATTTATCACTTTTGAAGTCTTCCAACTAAGGTAGTATTAAGAGAGAGAGAGAGATAAAAACTTCGTTGAATATGATAAGGGTAGATATTCTATGGAGGAGGGCATGGATAAAGGTTTTAAAGGGTACGAAGAAAGCTTACCCTACTCATCTTTATTTTTGAGAAAACATTACAATCAATAACTTTAAAAAGTGGAATTTCATTACCTAAAAATCAGTATAATTCATCATGAATAGTTTTTATTCATTTATTTGTTTTTCTATAAACGTACAAAAAATCTTGAACAATTTCGAAATGATGAAAATAAAGTAATGTGTACTACTGATATTATTTCACGGGATGTTGATATTTATTGGGTAAAATTGAACAATATTGTTTTTCATAATTAATATTTTATTTATCTAAGTTGAACATGTAATACAATTTGATTTTCCACGTTGTATTTCTGATTATATTCATCTTACTGATCGTGCTGGTTCAAAAAATCGAGACAAAGTATCAAGTTTTGTTAGTCGACCACATGAGATTAGTCTTGCTAAAAAAATCGAAGTAATAGAAAAAAAACAAAAATATACTAAAATATTTCAATCATTTAACAGATGTTTTTTTTCTACAAGATTCCTGCTCGCATGAACAAAAGGCTTAGTGGAGTGAATAATGATATAAAAACACAATTAGAATTGCATGGAAAGCAATTGACTTAATCGCGTAGCATAGATGTATTAATATGATAAATAAAATAAAATGCATATTAAGATTGTTGTTTATTTATATTTTCATTATTTAATTCAATAAGAGATGATATTGATGAATTCATTGATACAGTTGAATTAGATCTATGTCGTTCGTCGAAAGAATATTTCATAGGTGTTGTTGGTTATGTTACTGCTGTTGATTCATCAAGATGATTATTTGTATCAAAGTTT